TGGCCTGAGAAGTGGATGATACATTGATACCTGCCTCATGGGGCTGACGTTAGCATTGGTGATTCCGTGCACGAAGTGCCTGACACATAAACCCAGTTCAGAGCAGCTGCTGTCAGTGGGCAACAGAGGACTTTATCAAAGGACAAAAGGAACCAGCAGTTAGCTGAGGAGTCAGGATGGCCAGTCTACACCAGCGGGTTGCAAACTCAGTGCCCACCAGGACCAGACAAATAGCAAACAAGGGGAGAAACAGCCAGGCAGGGTGGCGGTTGCCGGGCTCTTGACTTTTTAGGAGAAGCGGGAAATCCAGGGTTTTATATGGAATTGACTGACTGAGATGCCTGGGTGTCTCAGAGGTTGACTGTCTGCCTTTGGCTGGGGGCGTGATCCCAGGTCCAAGGATGGAGTTCCGTGTCGGACTCCCTACGAGGGGCCTGCTTCTCCCTCTGTTTGTGTCTCTGCCTCTCTCTCTGGATCTCTCATGAATAAATAAATTAATAAATCTAAAAAAAGAAAGAAAGAAAGAAAGAAAGAAAGAAAGAAAGAAAGAAAGAAAGAAAGAAAGAAAGAAAAAAGAAAGAAAGAAAAAAAGAAAGAAAGAAAGAAAAAAGAAGAAAAAGAAAGAAAGAAAGAAGAAAGAAGAAAGAAAGAAAGAAAGAAAGAAGAAAGAAAGAAGAAAGAAAGAAAGAAAGAAAAAAGAAAGAAAGAAAAAGAAAGAAAGAAAGAAAGAAAGAAAGAAAGAAAGAAAGAAAGAAAGAAAGAAAGAAAGAAATCGCCTGACTTTTCAAAAGTGGCAACTCATTCAAAACTTTAAAATTACTGCAGGGGCCAAACATCTCTGTGGGCTGACTTGGCCGTGGCCCCAGCTCGTGACCCCACGCCCACGTGGGCACTGTTTCCCGATCATTGCTTGGGGCTTCCACTTTCTTTTAGCCACACCAGCTCATGAACTGAAATGTACTTTTCCAACATAGTGACAATCTGTGATAAATTGGCGTGGATTGGAAACCAAATGAGCTAACTGGAGAGGAAATAACTGAACAACCCCAAAATCAGGTTCGAATCCCGTCTGGTATGGAGAGGCTGGGAAGGTGGGCAGGTGGAGTTGTGCACTGCCCCCTCACACCTGTTATTTTGTGCACTGTAAGATACACAAAGGGCAAGAGGATTTGATACCGGGGCACAAGAGTAATAGCTGTGGTCAGAATTTTGCCTCACGTGGCACTTAGCATGCTCATTAGCATCCCTAGCTTAGAGTGTGCTTTCCATGTATTTAGTCTGAGATGGGACTTTATTATTTTTTTTAACATATCTGTACGTGTGAGTAAATGGCACTCATTTGTTTCTTTGTCTATTTATTTATTGGACCAAATCACCCCAACAACTCCTCGGGTAGTCGTGTGTAATCAGATTTGGTTTTTTAACATGCTTTTAAAGTAAAGAAATAAATACAATTGAGACTTGTAAAAGGTGATCATTAGGAAATGGGCCTCGGCCCCATAACTTCAAAGTAATAGCCCCATTATGGAGAGGGGCGATCATCTTTTAACTGCTCCTCGCACTTACATTGTAAGGTGGAGGGGCTCTGCAGGCAGGCTGGGCATCTTGGTAAAAGCTTTTCCAGCAACCACTTAACCTCCACTTACAAAGAAATAAACCGGAATTGATGCTGATTTGGGCCTGCTTTGGGGGATATCTTTGCTCCGTAAAAGCCCTTTTGCTTGCAATTTGCTGAGCTGCCCTGTCACATGAGAAAGGGCTGCTGTTGATAAAGATAAAGCTTTATGGCCACGATATTTGCTGCTAACAGCAACCTAATGCAGCATTTTCATTTTTGTGCAATTAATGTTAACGTCTGCTACGAAAATTGTCATTAAATACCATTTTAAAATCCATTCAATTTGCATATGCAAAGCCCATTTACCATCACAGAAGATATAGCCGGCACTTCATCACGTCCTTCCCCTGGAATTGTAGCCACTCAGTTTTATAGCAATTTAAGATTTTATATTGAAAGCCAGATGATAATGGATGTCCTTTCTGAGCCCGGCTGACTTAAGCGTTTCCATTGTACGTGGAACAACGCAGCCCCAGGACCAGAAGCTGTGGGTATTCGAAATGTAACTCAGTCCCCAGGGAGGCAAGGTGTGGAAGAAAGAGCACTGGACAGGGAGTCTGCCGGCCTGACTCTAAATCTGGTTCTTGTCTGGGTCACAACTTGCCTGGAAAAGTCTATTCACTTCTCTGAACTTCTGCTTTCTTGTCTTTTTTTCTTTTTTTTTTTTTAAGATTTCATTTATTTATTTTAGAGAGAAAGAGGAGCATGGGGAGAGGGACAAGTAGACTCTGCACAGAGCCTGATACCAGGGCTTGATCTCACAACCTGAGCTGAAATCAAGAATCAGTTGCCCAACTGACTGAGCCACCCAGGCGTCCCTATTTATTTTACTTTTAATCTTTTTTTTTTTTTTTTTTTAGGTAAGCTCTATGCCCAACATGGGGCTTGAACTCACAACCCCAGGATCAAGAGTCACATGCTCTACCGATGGAGCCCGCCAGGTGCCCCTGCTTTCTTGTTTTAAATAAAGGCTTTGAACTAGGTGGTGGCTAATGTTCTGTGTCTTCTAAAATTTTTTCTTAAAGATTGATTTATTTATTTATTTATTTATTTATTTATTGAGAGAGAGAGAGTGGTAGAGAGGTGCAGAGATGGAGGGAGCCCCGATGTGGGGCTCCATCTCACAACCCCTGGAATCACCACCTGCACTGAAACTAAGAATCAGATACAACTGACTGCACACCCAGGTGCCCCTAAAACTTTGTTATTTTAAATATAAGCACATCAGGTCAAGAACACAGTTTAGGGAGGTCAGCTAATATCTCCCTGCTAAGCTGGCAAGTTACCCCCACAGACCTCCTGCACAGGGGTTTAAAAGACAAGGAAAGGAAACTGGCACAGAGCCCAAACATAACCTGAGAATCCTGGAATGCTGAGTTACAGAGGAGGAACTGGAAGCCTTGGAGGGAGAACAGTTGGGGACCATGCCAGAACTAGAACCCTAGGCTGACCCCTAGCCAGAGCTGCGCCCAGAAACCATGCTGTCTTGGAGACACTGGTGACTGGCCCAGACTCATCTAGTGATGTGGCGCATAGTGGGACTCTCTGTTCCCCTTGTACTCCGGGAAATCTTGGGAAACCTTGCCTGGCCTTGGAGGGACTGACAGGGGGCAAAGGATGGTGTACAGACGATTAGATAAGCCAGTCCAGGAATGACTTTCCAATATGTCTCTAGTGTCACGTTATGGGTTTTGAGCGCTGGTGAATAGAAATGCATTTTAGGTAGAGAGATGTCCATGGGAGGTGGGTGAGCTTACCGCATGAGATGATGCTGAGCCGAACTCTGAAGAACAAGGAGGTTTTACTAGGTAGGGTCAAAAGGCAAGGGAAAAGCATGCAAAAGTATGGTGACTCACGCTATGGAAAACACTGTGGCAGTTCCTCAAAAAAACTTAACCTAGGATCCCCTATGACCCAGCAATTGCACTGGTGGGCAGATGCCCAAAAGAATTGAAAGCAGGGACTCAAACATTTGCACACCCACGTTCATAGCAGCACTATTCACAATAGCCGAAAAGGTGGAAATAATGCAAATGTGCATTGATGGATAAATGGGGAAACAAAACGTGGTATATATGTACAATGGGATATTATTCAACCTTAAAAAAGGAAGGCAATTCGGGCGCCCACTAAGACGCAGTGGTGGTTCACAGCCATGTGAATGTGCTTAATGCCAGGGAACTATACATTTAAAAATAGTAAAGCTTACCACGATAAAAAAAAAAGATTAGAAAAAAATAAAAATAAAGAAGGAACCACCAAATAAATATATAAACGAACAAATAAAGTATGGTGGCACAGCCTGAGGAAGTCACCTATCCAGGAACAGTGAGATGAGGGTGAGGGACAGATCGTCAGAGGCACTGTTGGACCAGGATACTGGCTTCTCAGTTTCGGGCATCTGGGGGTGCTTGGGGCAGCTGGCAGCCCCGGGCCATTTGGCTAGCTGCAAGTGCTTCTCTTTATTTGTACAGTTGAGGCACAAATATCAGGGATTTTTGTCCGATTTGGACTGTGACACAGAACAGGTTAGGAAGGCTTGCTGTATCGGACGTCTGATGTTTTTGTCTGCTGCTGTGTTCTGCTCTCCTCCTCCTGGAGTCAGAGCCCAGATGTCTGCGTCTTTCCCACCACCAGCCCCTGAGATGCTAGACCCTGATTCCAACCCACCACCCCTTCCAAGAAGGGGCAGAAGATCAGGCCTGGCAGATCAGGGCATCAGGATCTCCTGGTCACGGCAACTGGTTCAGAGGCAGACATGTGACCCGGGACTGACCAATTGGTACACTTCACAATCCCTATGCATGGTGGTTGGTTCAGGGATAGGCCAGGCTCTAAAGTTGGACCAAAGAATTTTAATCTCAATGCTATTAAAGTTTCTGTGCTCTTCCCACCAAAAATGGAACTGTTCCTGGTCATTCTGCTACATGAGGAAGAAGCTTGTCAGAGAATGAAGCCAGGACTGAGAAGCACAGCCACAACACGGAGAGACACACCAAACACTGATCATATCCTTTGATTACCTAGATCCAGCCATGCCTGAAACTGTACCCTTGAGCTTTTCAATCCTATAAGCCAGTAAATCCCACTTAAAAAACAACAAAAGCATCAAGGCAGTTTGAGTTGAGATTTGATTACATGCAACCACATTCTGCTTTTATAGAATGTCATGCATTCCAGAGTTGGGACACGGGTTACATGTGTGCTGCTGTACCAATCACTGTGACCAAGGTTTGTGACACACATTGATCAAACAGGCCTGGAACTCTCGCCCCTTCCTGGAGTCAAAAATCATGCCTCACATTGTTTTCTGATGCAGTCACCTCTGGGCACCCTCCTGCCCCACGGCGAGGGATACAGCCTTGCGTGCCAGCTACCTTACCGTGCCCGGATCCCAAACGTCATATTTGGTGGAAGAGAGGGCAGCAGTTCCTTCTTGACGTGCCGGTCATCCTGGTCACTGATACGCATGTCGTTGAGCTGACGATAGAGGAAATTCTCCCGAGCAGTTACCAGGCCGGCTTTCACCGCCCCACGGTTCATGGCTATGTAGTTCCGGGTCAGCTCATGGGGGCAGGTGGGCTGCTGCTTAAACACGTTCCAGTGTCCGATGGCTAGGGGTGGAGAGAGACAGCACCACGGTGTGGCAGTCAGGGAAGGAAGCAGGCGGTGGCACCTGACTGAGGAGAACCGGGCATGCATACCTTCCCATGAGCCCAGAGCCTGCTACGGGGACAGCCCTGCTCAGCCTGCTGGGAAGGGAGGGGTCAGGATCCCCAGAGATCCCACAGGGCACCTGAGCATCTTTGGTGGAGCTGGGTTGGCCTGGCCTTTACCTCCTTGAGGCCATCAGAGGGTCGGGCCTGAGCCCCTTCCGTGCTCAAAGCTCACATGGGACGGAGCACAGTCCCTTGCCTGGGGACAAGGCTGGACACTGGCTGGGGCCCTTGCTGTGTCCCTGCTTCCTTTCACCTGGGCCCTGCCTGGACCTCCCCATCTCGGCCAAGCCCTGACTGGTTTCTATCAGAATCATGCTGTGGGGCAGACACCGTGACTCTGGCTCTTTTCCCGGAGCGTGGCCTGCTGCCAAGTGGCCAGGCTGGGTTGAGAGCTCAATCCCCTGAGGTGCAGAGTCGGCTTGCTCACCTTCGGGGACGCCTCCATCCAGCCCCCGGATGTAGAGTCCATAATTAAAGTCGATCCCAGGCAGACTGCAGCTTCTTTCTCGGGGCTTCCCGAGTTCAGCCTGTTTGGGGAAAGACAGAGATCAGGGGTGAGGAGTGGAATACCGGACCAACCACATGATACCAAATTCAGCAGTGGGAGTCATGGGACCTGCTCACTTTGCCACAGGCCCTGTGGGTGACCGCAGGGCTGCCAGGGTGTGGATGACTGAGCCTCCCTGGAAGGGGCCACTTCTTCTGGCTGGAGAAGGCTGCCGGGGTGCTCGTGCTGAGGGACAAGCGAGCAGAGTCAAGTCAGGAGGACCCCTGAGGCCTTGAAAGAGGAGGCGCATTTGTCCAGGGTAGGTGCATTCGGGGCCCAGCCCAGATCTGCCTGCCTGGAGCTGGAGGTGACTCACCTACGCAGATATGCTGGAAGGCCTGGTTCACAGAGATTCACCTGGAGGCCCCCTTGGGGTGGGGTGGGGGGCATCTTTCCTACCTGACTCTTCATTCCTACCAAACAGGATGGCTTATATGGTGCTCACTGCAGCTCGTGAAGATGTGGATGGCTTCTCAAATCCTCACCTGCAGGTGGGGCTATGGCAACAAGGCCTGTATCACCTTCAGAGTGGCTAGATAGCTTTCCTCACTCTCTGGGTCTCTCTGTCTCTCTTTTTTTTAATTTTTTTTTAATGTTTATTTATTTATGATAGTCAGAGAGAGAGAGAGAGAGAGAGAGAGAGGCAGAGACACAGGCAGAGGGAGAAGCAGACTCCATGCACCGGGAGCCCGACGTGGGATTCGATCCCGGGTCTCCAGGATCGCGCCCTGGGCCAAAGGCAGGCGCCAAACCGCTGCGCCACCCAGGGATCCCTCTGTCTCTCTTTTTAAAAGATTTTATTTATTTATGCATGAGAGACTCACAGAGAGAGGCAGAGACAGGCAGGAGGAGAAGCTGGCTCCCTGTGGGAAGCCCGATGCAGCACTCGATCCCAGGACCCCAGGATCATGACCTGAGTCAAAGGTAACAGGCACTGAGGGGGGCACTTGACGGGATGAGCACTGGGTGTTATACTATATGTTGACAAATTGAACTCCAATAAAAAAATATACAAAAAAAAAAAAAGGCAGACACTCAACCACTGAGTCACCCAGGTGCCGCTCTCATTCTCGGCGGCTCTGGTGCACTCCTCCTTGCCCCCCCAGGAGGGAGATGTAGGAACCAATGGCCCTATAACTGACCACGTGACTCCCCCATTTTATAGACAGGGGAGAGGATGCTTAGAGAGGCGGTCGTGACCCACAGCTCCTAAGGGCTGGGCTGGGTTCCACACGGGGCTGGGTCCGGCCTCCAGCCGGGACTCCTAATCATTAGATCGGCCTGCAGCTCTTTAGCGGAGCAGCTTCCTGAGGTCAGAGGTCCTACTCCTCATGATGCTTAGAACATCTCCTCTCTGCTTCATGGAGCCTCTGTTGACTTCTGATCGTGTCCCAGATACAATGTTCAGCCCTTCCCCTGCCCCTCTCCTTGAGTCCCCACAGCTGCCCTGTGAGGCAGCCCCCCTTGCTAACCCCATTTCTCAGATGAGGAAACTGAGGCACAGACAAGTCAGGCAGTTGGCACAAGGCCACACAGTAGAAAGTGGCAGAGCTGGGACTTGAACACCAGCTGTCTGTCTCCAGCCCACGCTCAGATCCACTGGCTAAATGAATACCCATGAGCCACCCAAATGTCTGGATGATAAAATCCCACACAGCCAGAACCATGACTTCTATTGCCTTCCCCTTCCTGCTGGCACATTGCAGGTGCTCAATAAATGCCCAAGATTAAAAACCTCCTCCTCTGTGAAGCTCTCCCGGGTTGCCTTCAGTCCAGACTTTCCCTGTCATACGGCACCCTAGGGTGAGCTTTATCTACAGGACACTTTCAAAATTGCCCAGTAGTATCTCTGCAGCACAGAAGGGCTTTGGGTCTGTATATGATGCTCAGGGAAAGAGCCAGGCACCAAGGACCACGTACTGCATGACTTCCTTGACGTGAAATGTCTCAAATAGCAAGTCCAAATGGACACAAGGTAGATTCGTGGTTGCTTCTGGCTGGGAGGGGGATGGGATTGGAATGTTTGGGGTGGGGAGTGATGGCTAAGACGTATCCCAAAATTGATGGTAGTGGTGGTTGCATGAGTCTGGGAATAAGCGAAAAGCCACTGGATTGTACACTTTCTTTGTGTGAATTGTACACTGTGTGACTTAGTGTCAGTAAAGCCATTAGAAATTACAAAGCAGTGTAATCAAGTCATTAACTGCATGATGATCAGCTTAACATGCCTCTCCCAGTTAGAATGTACTCTCACTCTTCATTTATTTTAGGGTTAATTTTTTTTGTTTTTGTTTTTGTTTTTTTTTATTGTTGTTGTTTAAAGATAGACCTTTTTTTTTAAGATTTTATTTATTTATTTATTTGAGAGAGAGAGACAGAGACAGTGAGAGAGAGCATGAGCAGGAGGAGAGGGAGAAGCAGGCTCTCCACAGAACAGGGAGCCAGACACAGGGCTTGATCCCAGGACCCTGAGATCATGACCCGAGCCCAAAGCAGACGCTTCAGCGACTGAGCCACCTGGGTGCTCCTGGACCTTGTTTTTTTTAGAGCAGTTTAATGTTCACAGCAAAATTGAGCAGAAGGTACTGAGATCGCCCCTGTGCCCCCTGCCCCCTTATCCTCACCCCTCTTTCTCCCTGTGCCATTGAAAAGATGCTGGCAAGTAGGGGCTGAATGAATGAATGAATGAATGAATGAATGAATGAAATGCCTCCTTGGAGACCCTATCACCCCTCTTCTACACATCGTTCTCCCTCTTCTTTCCCAACTCAAATCCCAGGAGGCCCCACTTCCCTCGAAAGGGATGGAGCCCTGGGTTCCAGGCAAGTGCATGGGGCCTCTGCTGGGTGGTTTGCCTTGAATTCCTTCTGAAAGACTCACTCTGAGCTGCAAAGCTCTGGCTTCTCATTTGTTTTTGAAAATGATCTGGCCTCTCTGGTGACTGCAGGGGAAGTTAATTAAAATGTGACTTCTCCAGGAGAGGCTTCCGCCACCCTGCCGCCTCCCTCAGGGCAGGTGCAGGTGGGCAGACTTCCAGTTGGCAGAGAAAGGACAGACAGACTCAGGAGCTGGCTGTTATGTTGGGGGTGGGGTGGGTGGGGAGGCGGAAAAGCACATGGGTGCCTATCTCTGCACTTTTTACCAACAGCTGAATGGAATCAACAACTGCTCAAATGCCTTGAAGCCTTAGGCTGCAAGAGTCATCTCATGGGAGGATCACCCATTCTTTCACTCCTCAAATATTTATTTTGTATCTACTCTGCACCCAGTCCTGTGTTGGGAGTTCTAGGGCGAACAAAGCAGACACAAAGTCTTTGCCCTTATGAAATTTATTGTTTTGCAAAAAGGACAACTGACCGAGTAACCCCATAGTCAAGTGCACTCAGGAGTTGGATTGGGGGAGCACGGATTGCCTCTAGCTCTAAAAATCTGAGTCCACAGTGAGAGAAGATGTTTGCAATACATATACCTGGCAAAGGAACCTTATCCATCATATATAAAGAGCCGCTACAAATTAATAAGAAAAAAAGGCCGACAATCCTATAGAAGGATGAGCAAGAGACTTGAACAGGCACTTCATTAAGAGGATGTCCAAGTGGCCAAGATCCAGATTTCAAAGTTGTTTAATCTCTGAGCAATGCAAAGTAAAAACTCGGGCAGCCCTGGTGGCTCAGCAGTTTGGTGCCGCCTGCAGCCCAGGGTGTGATCCTGGAGACTGGGGATCGAGTCCCACGTCGGGCTCCCTGCATGGAGCCTGCTTCTCCCTCTGCCTGTGTCTCTGCCCCTCTCTCACTGTCTCTATGAATAAATAAAATCTTAAAAAAAAGTAAAAACTTAACACTATTGGTGAGAATGTGGAGGAACCAGAACACAGATGCACCTCGTGGGAGGTATAAACAGCCCCTGGGGCAAACTATTTAGCGATATCTATTAAAGCTAAATATATGGCTACGGTATCCCAACAGTTCCCCCCAGACAAGCACCAGAAATGAGTGCCCATGTTCAACAAAGACATGTCTGAGAATGCTCACAGCACCTCAACCTCTACTAGCCAGGTACTGGAAACGATCCAAATGGCCATTATAAGTGGATAAAAAAAGTTGTGACATATTTGCTACATAGAACACCCCGTAGCAGCAGTTCTCAATCAGGTTTGCCCTCCCGGAGGACACCTGGCCATGTCAGACACGTTCTGCCTTGTCACAACTTGGGAAGGGGTACTGCCTTCCACGGGGTGGGTGGAGGCCAGGTACTGCTAACCATCCTACAAAGCACAACACAGGCCTCACCTCCAAAAATGAAGAATTACCCACCCCTGAATGCCAGTACTGCCCAGGCTGGGAAGTCCCACGCTACGGCAACAATTAAAAAAAAAAATAGCCACACACAACCATATGGCAGCTCTCGCATGAAGTGCAGGGTGAGAGGAGCCAGACACGCAAGGGCCACGCAGAAGGGGCTCGAACCCCTGCAGGACGCCGGGAGTCTTGGGGCAGGGGTGGCGGCTGAAAGCAGCTCGAGGGGGCTTCGGGGGTGCTGGTCCTACTGCCTCCTGACCTGACGTGGGTGCCCCGCAGGCTGTGGAGTTCTGCATGCAGGCCTCCTTCAGAACCCATTCATCTGTGATGTGGCCATGGCTACGGGTTGAAGGAGCACTGTGTTCTCGAGCACCATGGGGTACCCCCTCTTCGCGCAAGCACAGTGTAAGCACTGGCAGCAGTAGCACAAAAACAATTTGTCAAGTCCCAAAGGGCACTCTGCTGTGTGCTTTTGCGATGGTGGGTTCGTGCCCGGAATTGCCTGAGTGTTGGTTTTGTCATATGCGCTAACTTTTCCAGGCAGCAGGATCAGCCGGCGGAATGAAGTAGGGCTCTCCAAGAGTTCAGCTGAGAAGGAGGATCAGCCTTCCAGCCCCACAGCTGGACTGGCTTCCCTCTTGGGCAGGTCACACCCCAGCATCTGAGAGGGTCACCTGTAGGA